GGCGGCGACAACGGGAATCTGTTTAGAATTGCGGATTTCCGAAGCTTTGATGGTGCCATGCAGTGCCCGATGAGTTTGTCGCCCGACCGGCTGCTGGACGCGTTCGGAGTTGTTGCTCCCACACCAGCCACTCCGGGTGTTGTTGGCTTAATGGCGTGGGATAATGTTGCCTCTATCTTCTGGCGTTGCTTTTCTAAGGGGATGCTGATGCCTTGACCAGCCTTTCTCCGTGTGCCCTTCCCACCCTCCTCTTTCTCTCTCTCGATCTCTCTGCCCCTTGCTAGACTGTGTGTGTGTGCTGCGGTGACAAGAGTGAGGATGGCTGGCCGTGTGCTGTTGGTGTGCGCCCTCTGCGTGGTGTGCTGCGCCGGCGGCGGTGTCGGTGCGTGGGGCTCGGGATACTGCACGGAGAGTGACTGGAGGGACTTGAGGGCGGTCGCGAAGGACATGACGGACACGGAGATTGAGAGAAAGTACTGCAGCCGCAAGCCGGAGTTTGTGAAGGGGCTGCGGGCGAGTCCGCAGGAGGGGGGGACTGTCTCCGGTACGGGTCAGGAAGGGACGAGCTCCACTGGGGCAACTGAGGGCACACAGGGGAATGTGCAAACCTCACAAGAAAAGGAATCATCGTCAAGCAGTGACAGTCAACCCGTTCAAAATAAAGGGAAGGAAAATACTGAGCAAGGTGGTGCTAAAGGTGGGGAAGGGGAACAATCACGTGCAGAAGCACCAGCGGCGCCGCAGTCACAGCCACATCACAGCCACAGCCACAGCCAGGGGACGCCGTGCAGGAGAGTACTCAGGCTGGCGGTTCACCAAAGTCGGGAGAAGGCGATGGAAAAGCCGGAGAAAAAGGAGATGATGGCAAAACAGAAGTCGAGCAGAAGGAAAACGCTGGAAGTTCAGCGGAGACAACGCAACAAACTCACTCTGCAGCTGACGGTGCGGAGGCGCCAAAGCGAGTGGGGACGGGCGCTAACGTTAACACGGCGACGGGTGGCAACAGTGACGGCAGCACCGCGGCCTCGCACTGCACCTCCCCCCTTGCGCTTCTTCTTCTTGCGTGTGCGGCGGCTGCTGCGATGGCGGCCGCGTGAGGGAGCGGTGTGCAGCTCGTCTTTTTTTGTTTTTTCAGTTTGTGTGTGTCCTCCTGCACGATTGTTCGCCCTCGCCCCACCCCACGAGGCACACACGTAATGTGCTCATATATACACTTCCACTCATGCAGTCCGTTGGTCTTCTTTTGCTTTCGACGGGCCGCTGCCGCCCTGCTTGGCTGCATGGGTAAAGCACCGTAACTGCTTTTACACTTTGTTTATTGTTTTCATTGCTTTCGGTGGGCGATCTTTCTTTCTCCCTCCTCCTTCCTGGATTGGGCTGTACGGGAAGAGAGGGAATGCGTGTGTGCTGGTCGGCCCACTTGCTGCTGCGCGTCCCCACTGCTCGGTGGACGTGTCCACGCGTTGGCTTCGCTTCACGGGGTTTGTTTGTTGTGATTTCTTTGTTTTTTTGGAGCGTTCGGACGGAATGGCCGGGTCGTGCATTGCGGTTTGCAGCGTGTGGTGAGTGTGCTGTGGATCGTCTTTTTCCCTGTTGTATTGTTTTGCGTATGCCCGGGAGTCGCTAAGGGTGGGCCGGGAAAAGATTAGTTTTTTGAGGGACACCGCAAGATGCCGGCCGCGCCACCACCTTTTCACCGCCACCCACACGCCATGGAGAAAACGGGGGCGTTTAACCGTCTGTTGTTGTGCTGGGCGCGGCACGCGCGGTTTGATAGTCTGGTGTCGAGGGGGCTTGTTTGTTTCTTCTTTTCACGCCTGTGGGAGAGGCTGGAGGCATCGACTGTTCCCTCACCTCTTCGTTCTTGCAGGTTTCGTGCTTGACTGGATGCTGCGCCTCAGTGAGAAATGCTTCTGCTGGGGGTCATTCCTGTTTCGCACGAGTGGGAGTGGGGTACGGCCGATGCTTCGGGCTGTGCGCCTTCGCACGTTGTGCCCTCCTTTTGGCTGTTAATAACCCACAGCTGCTGGCAGTGCCGTCTGACTGTCTGTGTGGGTGGGAGGAGGAGGAGTGGCAGCCTGCATTTTTGGGAGGGCCGCCCAACGCATTTTCCCGCGCCTCCTCGTTTTCCCCCAGCCAAACCCCAAAGTAAGCGGCCGGTTTTTGCTGCTGGGACTTCCAGGGGGGCTTCCACCGGAGCTGCGCATGCGAGGCGTGCACGTGTATTATTTTCCCATCCTTTTTTGGCGACCGCTGCGTGGCCCGTCAGTGAACGCGCCGTAGACCACTCCTCAGAGAGGGCGGGGCGGCCAGCACCGGGGGAATCTTGGGCGGCGCGACACGGATAGTTTTTGGGAGCTTGGAACGAGCGCGGAAGGATGCGTCTGCGTTGGGCGTCGGACTGCGCGACGCACGCTGCCGGCTGAGATTCAGGAATTCAAACGAGAACGGAAAAAAGTGCGTCGCTGCCGTGTGGTTGCCGCGACGGCCCGTTTAATGTTTGACTGTGCACGTCAGCGTCCGTCGTGGCGCCGCGGTGGTGGCGCAAGGAGATGCTGCTGACGCCGCCCCTCCTTCAAGGAGCAAACTGCGTGCGGCCCTCGCTGCAGCGAAGGTGTCTGTGGTGAGTTTCACGTTGGAGAAGTTGGAGGGACACTACGAGGATGTCTGGCATGCGAAGGGGAGTCACGCCATGGAAGTTTCGGATGGGCGAGGAGGGATGAGGATGGAGCTGAGGGCAGGCAGGCCGCCACAGCCGTGGGATTAAAAGGTGGAGGGGGCGACTGTTCTCACGGATGACGGTGCAGCGTGGTTCCGCCCACCACGTCCCAGTCTGGTGGTGCTCACCTCCGAGAAGTTGCCGTACGCACTGCGGCGGGCATGTGGTTCTGACTGCTGTGTGTACTCTGAGGTGAAGCGGGTGTGGTAGATCGTTGAGGGCGATCTGGCCGGGCTGTTTGGCACGCACGGCGGAGCGAACTCGGCGTCTGTGCGGCGTGTCTTGATCGGGATGCCCGGGATCGGGAGGGCGGTGGCTGCTTGTTCGTGCCTCCTCTACCAGCTGCTGCACTACGACGCCGAGCAGCTCCACGCGGTGGCGTGCTTCATTGGGGAGCGAGCGTTTCTGTTTGACAGGACCACCAAGACGGTGTTTTCCCTCGTATGTTCGACTCGGGCGATGGAGAGTTTATTTGGAGGTCTCCATGCAGGTGAGGGGGTATATTATCTGCGACGTGATGGGGCGGAGGAAGGCGTTGCCCACCAAGATGCCTCCCACTGGGTGGGGCATGCTCGCCGTGTCGTCCCCAAACGAAACTCGCTGCAGGGGCAGGGAGGAGGACACGGGCGCCCGCCGGATCATCATGAGCGGCCCTGATGAGAGAGATGTGAAGGCAGTGTGTGCCTGGGGATGCACGGAGAGCCTGCAGAGTGAAAGACATCCGCTGCATGTGTATTGTGGTGTTTTTTTTTCTTTCTTTTGGTGCCGAGTATCGCTTGGAGCGGATGGTGGCGGACGTCTGCTGTTTTTTATTGTCGTTATTTTGGTGTTCAACGTTTTTTTTAATTTTATTCATGCTGCGCCCCACTCCTGCTGCAGTGCGCTGAGGGAAGTGGGCGGCGTTGGGGAGTTTGTGGGGGCCGTGATGGGGGAGACGGTAAGTGGCGTGCTTGTGATTTTTTTTTTTTGATTTCTGCGGGGACGTCCCACACTGCGGACGCTCCGTGCGGGTGTGTGTGGGTGTTTCTTCGGGGGGCGGCGAGTGTGTGATCTTGCCGCCCACGCATTCGTCGGTGCAGCCTTCGTTATGGAATCTCGCTGTTCTTTGCGCGGTGCCCAACTGTGGGCGCGGGCGGTGCTCATTGTTTTATTTTATTTTTGGCTTCACCTCACTTTTTTTCCTCAACACGCTCGGAAGGAAAAAGACCAAACGCTACTCGCTATTGCGCGCTTTGGGGGCTCTGCAGTCACCACCAGCAACACACACACACACAACCGTCGCGGCCTGAGTGGGTCCACTACAAGGAGGGAAGTGGGAAAGAGAAGAAGGGAGAGTGAGAGCAGCAGCGGCCCAACATGTCCCGGCGCATGTTTTCTTCCTTTTCGGTGCTGCTGCTGTTCCTCTGCGTGCTGTTGCTGATGTGCAGCCGTTGTGGGGCTGTGGAAGGGACGGAGTCGAAGGAGGTGGAACTCTTCAAGCCAAGGAAAGATGTGGTGTTCGCTGATGGAGAAGAGGGGAAAATTGAGCAGCGTTACGAAATCTTTTCCTCATTCCAAGGCCATTCCCTCGTTGAGGCGGATGGTGTGATGGTTGCGCTTGCTTTGGCCGCCTACAGCAGAAGTGGTAGCTACAGCATGTATGCTGACATTTGGGCAATGTGGCGCCCGTACGGAGGTGGCAGTACATTGGGACAAAATGTTGCATGGGAGGAAGGGTGGAAGACGCAGCTTGTGACCAAACCGTTGGCAGAAGAGGTCGCCGATGGCCCACTGCTCAGCTCCAAGGCCGTGGCGAGGGGAAATAAAATGTTTATTCTTGCGTCGAACTTTGCCACTATTACCAAGAATGTTTCGAGGCATGTAGCTTACTGGGACCTTGAGCTGATTGTTGGTGAGGTTCAGAGGACCGCGGGGGAAGATGTGAAGCAAGTCTCATGGAAGAAAACCAGCTTGCGGAAGGCCACACTTGACACAGAGATGCAGCAGCATTCGTGGGGGAGGCTGGAAGCTGTTGATGGGTCCAGAGGCGTTGCAGTTGGGGGAAGTACGATTGTTTTCCCTCTTGTGGCAACAAAACACCTCCACGAAGGAGGAATGAGGCGTGTCTGCACCGTCATTTACTCCGAGGACAATGAGGAGAGTTGGAAATTGCCTGAACCAGCTGTGATTGCCAATGACTGCACTTTCGCCACGCTTCTCAAGTGGGAGGGGAAACTCCTCATGGTCACTGAAACTTCGTGGCGGCGCAGGGTGTACGAATCCGCTGACAAGGGGAAGACGTGGACGGAGGCTACCGGGCCCCTCCCCCGTCTGCTGAGCGACACATACACATTGCCGGACCTCTACAGTTCTGTGGAGCTCATGACCGCAACCATTGAAGAGAAGACTGTGCTGCTGTACACCGAAGTGGTTTTCATTGACGATACACAAGAAGGGACTATGTCATTCAGCGCTAGTCAGAGCGTAATTCACCTCTGGCTCTCTGATGGGGCTCGGCTCTTTGACGTTGGACCAATCTCTGCTAATGATGCGGGCTACTACCATTTCAGTTCGCTGCTGTACACAAGCGATGGGTTGTTTGCCCTCTACTCGAGGAAAGGTGAGCGTGGAGGGCGAGACAGTTTTGTTTTTAAGCCTCTCACGGAGCAGCTGCAGCACATCAAGTCCGTGTTGAGTAAATGGAAGGAAGTGGATGGCAGGGTCCCAACGCTTTGCAGCTCCACCACCACTGCAACGAAGGGCGGCACAAAAGCAGCTGGCTGCGTCGGCCCTCTGCCAACGGCCGGGCTGGTTGGATTTTTGTCTAACAATGCCAGCGATACTCACTGGAATGACGAGTACCTCGGGGTGGGTGCCACGGTGTCTACGGGGACGACGACGAAGGTTGAGAATGGCTTCCGGTTGGCAGGGCGCGGCACACGGATTGTGTGGCCAATGGGCTGGCAGGAGAATAATCCAGTGCGGAGTTATGTTGGTGAGGAGCTGACGCTTGTGGCGACGGTGACCATCAGCAAAGTTCCAACGGGCGTCACTTCGTTGCTGGGCGTGAACACGGTGGGTCCCAAGGTGAAGCATGTGGGGCTGTGGTACGACGAGCATCAGCACTGGAAGACGATGCTCAGGGAGGAAGGGAATGCATCAGCGGTTACGTGGGAGGTGGGGACGGCGCACCGGGTGGCGCTCACGGTGCAGAAAGACGGCTGCTCGGCGTACGTCGATGGGGAGCTTGTGGGGAGTTTGGGGGATCAAGGCGTATCTCCTTTGGAAGCTCCACATTCCTCTGGAGTTGGTCTTGCGCGGCCTCTGCTGGGAATGTCACCTGAAACGATCTCAGACATCTACTTTGGGGGTTACGGGGACGGCACCGAGGAAGACGCAGGGAGCCACGTGACGGTGACGAACGTCTTGCTGTACAATCGCTGCTTCAACGGCAGTGAGATTGAGGCACTAATGAGGAGGGAAGAGAGCGGGACGGTGA